ATGCGAACCGAGGCCACCTTCCCTGGGGCTGCTGGGTGGTCCTGGGGTGCCCGGGGCTGCTGCCCCACTGTCATCGCCCAGCTCGGGGGGAGGCGGGAGCCAGGAGGGGTGCGGGATGTGGGAGCCCCGGCTCTGGGCAGCAAGTCCCGTCCCAGCCACTGGAGAGGCCCGAGAAGCGGGGCCACACGCTTCCCTGCTGTCCTCAAAGCTGCGCTCGGCACTCCGCGTCCCCTGCCGGACGGCACCCTCCCAGGCGAGGTTAGTGGAAGTTGCGGGGAGAGGCGGGTTCCTCCAGGGCAACCCGGCTCCTGTGTCCACAGTGCTGGCCGGAGCCCCGCCACCGAGGGCAGAGGGCAGGTCGCGGCTCTGCCACTCACTGTCCCGGGGCCCAGCAAGACCGCCCCCTCTGGGCCTGTCACCTCATATGGAACACGTACGGTCAAGTAAGGGAGGGACAGGTGTGCACTTACAGAAACATTTGTCTCTGTATGATGCGGCCTCCTTCTGTGAGGCCGCTGCTCCTGTATGAATTCCAAGGTCCTTAAGGGCCACCTTCTGCTCTGGCCACTGGCCACGCCACGGGTACACAACACCCCCCCACACACACACACTCACACACACACCAGCCAGGGCTCACACTGGATCTCCCTCCTCCTCCCTGTCCATCCTGTCCCTAACGTGACCCGGGGGGAGGGGCTCACTGTGACCCCATGCCTGCCCCCTGCATCAAGGGAGAGGAAAGGGGAGGGTCTGGACGACTGGGTCCCACTGACTCGCGGCCTGTCCCGGGGGCCACAGCCTGGGCAGGAGAGGCGGACGGCCACCGAGGCCCTGCACGCTGATGGAGCCTTCCCGTGATTGCCCTCTCCGCCAGTTCTGGTGGCCGCTGGGGTCCCTTCCTGCTGTCCGCGTGCAAGGCCCTTGCTGGTGGGCCGTGTGGAAGGCGCAGGCACACGCCTGCCCGAGGACGGTCCCCGGATGCGGTGGGAGGTATGACGGTCACTCTTCCCATCGTTGAGCGTCAGGGGCTGACCTTCGGGGTCAGACAGGCCGGAAGCTGGCAGGTCAGGGCAGGCCCTGGCTCGAGGTCCTGCGTGGGAGTCGTTCTGTCCGGTCCTAGAGGTTGGCCAGTGCTCACGGCTGGGTTGCTTCGGGAACACGTCTACCCACGTGACCTGGACGGGGCCACCTCAGGACCCCCTGGGTTCCGCCGAGAGGACAGCCCTGTGAGGTCTGGGGTCAGCGCCCAGAGGTCACGGTCTGCGTGGGTGTGGAGAGCGGGCTCAGGCAGGGGTGAAGCTGGCCGTGGCCTGCCGCCTGTGCAGGTGGCAGAGGGCAGGCCCATCTGATGGTGGACCCTGGTGGCCGTGCGTGCAGGCGTGCAGAAAGAGCCCCCCATGCCTCGGCCGCTCCCCGAGGCCCTCCTGGTTTAACGACATCTGTCAGACACCCACTCCAGCCAGGACCTGGGCTGGACTCCACACGGAGAGGGGCTTCAGCCCCGCCCCGCCTTGCCGGAGGGGCCCTCCTGTCCCGCCCCGCGGGGGAGCAGAGACCGGTTCTGGTCCCTCGGGTCAGAGGCTGGGGTGGGAGCAGCCGCGGTGAGGCTCACGGACCCCGTTGCCAGCCAGATACCCCGTGGGTGCTCCGGGACGTCTGCTGAACGAATGAGGGAGAGAAGGGGGTCACCGTGGGCGGGGGGCGTCTGGCAGTGCCCGGAGGTCTAGGGAGGCCACGACGGGGAAGAACCTTGGCCACCGCAGTGCACGAGCAGCAAGTCGGGATGAAAGCACCTCCACCCGGCAGGGGCGTGGCCCCGTGGCCTGGTCCCGTGGCTCGCCCTGGCTGGGGGTTTACTGAAAACCCAGCAGGCTCTGTTGTCTGCACTTGGGCACAGAAGGAAACACGGTGGATGGGAACACAGGCGGGAAGCCCGAGAGGTGGTGGGTCTGGTTTTCTTTTCTTCTTCCTCGCGCTGCTGGGCACCAGGGTATTTTACTCTGATTTTGGGGGCAGGGAAAGGCAAGTCCGTACACCCCATCTGAGAGTCAGGGGGTGCCCAGGTTTGCCCAAAAAGACAGGGGCCACTCCGGCGCGGGTACCTGGTCAGGCTGATGCCACGAGTCCCGTCCCTCCCCCGTTCCCGGCAGGCTGGCCGGCTCCGACCCTCCCCCTTTGCCCAGCGCTCACCGTGCGAGCCGGCCCCACGGCGCCCGCTGCCTCCGACCCGCCCGCGCCCCGTGCAGCAGGCTCTGTTCCTGTGGCAGATGAGGGGACTGGGCCCCGAGAGCTGGGGGACCCCACGCAGCTGCTGTCAGAGCCGGGCTGCCCCAGGGACTCCGCCGATGCAGGACAAATGTGAAGTTATCTTTGACTTTTATGGCCCTTTTTTTCCCTATTAAGATGCTTAGAGCTGTAAATGTAGTCCTAAAGAGCTCATTTATCCTGACGAAAGTGTGGCTATAAACTATCCAGTGCTCGTGACATAGCCGCTGAGATGATTGTTTCTGCTGGTACCGATAAATTCCGACGCGGAGCAGAAAGGTCAGCCCCTGCCAGATAAAATGTCTTTTCAGCTTGTTAATTAAAGCTTCATAAGGACATGGAAGAACGCACTCTGGGGGCGGAACTTAGAAAAGGAGCAAACAGATGAGGCTTGCAGGGTGCCCGGAAGCCGGCCCCGCGCAGACGGGGAGTGGACGCTCGTGGCAGGTGACTTTGGTGTCCTGGGAGGCGACCCAGCGTTCCCAGAAGCGCGAGGTGGAGGGACCCGGCTCAGCAGCCCCGTTTGTAGCAAACTTCTCCTAAGAGCCCAGGACTTCAGGCTTTGACCCGGGAGTGGTCCCGTCTCTGGGTCTCCTCTCGATGCCCCGGCACAGAGGGACCCCGACACCCTGCGAGGTGCTCCTTAAAGCCCAGTCAGGCACCCCGAGCGAGCCCCAGGCAGCGGCCGCCGTGGGGCTGGGCTGCAGTCAGGCAGGGTTTTAGCTGGTGGAGTCAGGGGGTGAATGCTGTTCGTTCTGCGAGCTGGTGGCATCCGGGGGCTTGTCTGGGGGCGTCTTAGCCAGAAGGGGATTCCCAGGGGAAGTAGGCTGGCCCCTTGTTCCCTGGCTCCTGTAGGTGCTGGGCGTGCATTTGCCCAGAAGTTGTGCGGCCTCAGGATCTTCCGGTCAGCTCCCGTCTGTGCAGGAACCCCTGCTCCCAGGGGGCCACACAGCTTCGCTCACTGATGACACCAGGTGCCCGTGGGGGTCTCTGATGCAGAACCTGCTAGAGGGACAGGGCGGTTTCCTCTTGGCTTGTGGTCCCCAGGTTGGCAGAATCACCCGGAAGCTTGCTAATCAGATGGGGCACCGTGCCTGCCTCCACCTGTGCACACCTGGGCCGGAGCGGGGCGGACGGGGGTGGTTGGGGTGGGGGGATCATATCCGGCTGGAGGCAGGCCCCACAGGTGGTGCGGGTCGCCAGCAGGGCTGGGCCAGGGAGGGCAGAACCTTCCACACTCATCCCTTTGCAGAACGCAGGGCAGACTCTTAAAATGTGGGCGTTGGGGGGCGCCTGGGGCGTTATTTTAGCACTGCTCCCCAAGCTGTTCTGGCCAGAGACCTGAGACGGCATTACAGGTTGAGACGCGTCCCTGAGAAGAGACCGCGCGTGGTTTTCATGCTGGCTGTGTTGTGCGTCCAGCCCTGTTCCGGCCAATGTCCACGGTGGATTTCCGGTTAAATGTGCAGGGTGTGGCTCCCCACCGAGAGGCGGGCAGCCGGCTTGGACGACCTGAACCCACTTGGGGCAGGTGACCTATTCCAGAGGAGGGAGGAGCCGGCCCTCCATCAGGAGAAGCTGCGCTGGGGCTTGTGGGGCCTGAGACCCTCCGCTGTGTCATTTGGGGACAGATGAAACCAGCACCAGAATCGGGACGGCGAACACATCCCCCGCCCCCAACCTGGAAACGTTTCCCGGTGCGTTTTGTAATCCCTTCCTCCCATCCCCCCATCTCCGCATGATCTGACCTGCTTCTTCGTTTTGGAGATGGGTTTGCTCTTTCTGGAATCTTACATAAATGGCATCGTACGACACGTCCTCCTTTCCTTTTTGGCGGGGGCGCCCGGCTCCTTCATTCAGCCAACGTTTGGAGGTTCGTCCCGGCCGCGTGTACGAGTTGCTCATTCCTTTTGATCACCGGGCGATGCCCCGTTGGGTGCAGACAGCACAGGTTGTTCAGCTGCGGGCCTGGTGGCATTTAGGCCGTTCCCAAACGGGACGTCTGGAAGTCCCAGATCGGGGCGCCTCTGTGTTCGGGTGCCCTCTTCTCGCTGAGACCTCGCGTGGGGTAAGGGGCTAGCGGTCTCTCTGGGGCTCTTTTTACACGACGCTAATCCCACCGAGTTCATAAGGCTCCACCCTCCTGACTGAACACTTCCCAAAGTCCCCACCTCCTGACACCCCCACATCGAGAGCCTGGACTCCCAACATGTGATTTGGGGGGGGCACGCACATTCAGTCCATAGCAGTAAATGTGCGTTTAACTTTTTGAGAAACGGGCAGACTGTTTTCTGGGGTTACTGTGCCCTCTTACGTTCCCAGGAGCCGTGGGTCAGCTGCTGTCTGTCACCACCACGTCCCGATCTGGTCCCTCCCCGAGGAGGCGGGAGGAGTGCCTCATTGGGGCTTTAGTGAGCACTTCCCGAATGACCGACGCTGTCTAGCATCTTCTTGGGGGCTTGTTTGCCGTCCACGTGTCTTTAGTGAAGTATCCGTTCGGATCTTGTGTTCATTGTTTTCATCACGTTTTCTGATTAGCGTGTTTCGAGAGTTTTTTGGGTTTTTTTAATGTTTGTTTATTTTTGAGAGACAGAGTGAGCCGGGGAGGGGGGAGGGAGAGAGAGAGAGGGAGAGAGGGAGACACAGAATCCGAAGCAGCTCCAGGCTCTGATCTGTCAGCACAGAGCCCGACACGGGGCTCGAACCCACGAACCGGGAGATCATGACCTGAGCTGAAGTCAGACGCTCAACTGACCGAGCCATCCAGGCGCCCCTCAAGAGTTAGTCGAAGTCTGGACACCAGTCTTTTATCAGCCAACTTTTAAGTGTGTTTTTCCCAGTCTGGGGCTTTCTACTCTCTTCACAGGTAAGCTTCAGGAGTTTTTAAATTCTTTTTGTAGCCCAGTTTACTAATTCATTCTCATATGGATCATGCTTTTGGTGTTAAACGTATGACTCTTTGCCTACCCGAGGGTCCCAAAGATTTTCTCCTGCGGTTTTTTCCTAGATGCTTTGTATTTCTAGGCTTTACATTTAGGCTCTGCTTCATTTTGCTGTGGTTTTTAAAATATTGCGCCACGTATGGATTCAAGTTCATTTTTCTTGGTTTTTAGTGTACAGGTATCCATGTGAAAAACCTTACTTTTAAAAAAGCAAGTTGGGGGGTGTGTGGGTGGCTCGGTCGGTTAAACCTCAGACTTTGGCTCAGGTCCATGAGTTCCAGCCCCCAGTCGGGTGAGCATGAGCCCTGCTTCGGGTGAGACCTGCTTCTCTCTCCCTCCCTTTCTCTCCCTCTCTGCCCCCACCGTGGGATTCTCTCTCTCTCTCTCTCTCTCTCTCTCCTTTTCTCTTTGCCCCTCACGCACTTGCGTCCCCCGCCCCCAAAATAAATAAATAAGTTGGGGCCTCACATTGGGTGAGCTCCAGCCTTCTTCTCTCTCTCTCTCCCCCTCTCTGCCCCACGCTCACTTGCCCCCCCCAAAATAAGTAGATAATAAATAAATAAATAAATAAATAAATAAGAAGTCAAGGCACCTGGGTGTTGCA